GCTAAGAATGGCTCTTGGGATGTGGGGTAGCAAGGTCTCCTGGCCTCCCTCTGACTAGGGACACTCTAGGCCCCTAGGAACTGAGAGGCATGGGGTAAAGTCATGACTTTAGACTCTGTGAAATCTGTAACCAAGGATTATTTCTGATTTTACTCCTCTATCAAGAGAGAATAAATTTTCTCATAAAAAAATATGACCTACGCTGCAAATGTATCATGAATGTGGTGGAGCTTAAGGGAAGGAAAAAGTTATGAAAACTCCTTGAACATTATCAAACACCTCTGTGAGATGTGGCCCTGAGCCTGAGAGAGTGGAGCCATTGTCTCTGAGGACAATATGGGCAACTGGGACAAGCAAGTTCACAAAGGCAAGGTTCTACATCTTACTTTGGTGAGTATCAACTGGGGTCTCTAACGCGCTTGCATGGTCCTCCATGGTGCACCTGCTAGTGTGCTGTTAATTGGAGCAAAGAAGAGGAGGGCCAATGGACTACCAGGCCTTGACCAAAAGTCTCCCCAACCCTGGGAACAGAAGAATGAGATAGTGCCTGACTACCACTAGCAAGTGCTTTGAAAGGGGTCACTTTAGAAGTTCCTGGATAGGATTAGGAGGGGAAATGTGGGACAGAACTCAAAATCATTAGGAAAGAGGAGGTTTGTTTTTTCTGAGGCCAGTGGAAGCTTAGAGACCACATCCTTTTGTGCCCAGTCAGGTCTGGTACAGGAATAACCTCAGCAGCTCAGTTTTCAGCCAAATGAATGACAGGAAGGTCTATAAGGGCAACATTCATCCTAGAGAAGCAAGTCCTCCTTAGAATAACCAACGATTTGAGAGCAAAAGGTCAGCCTTTACCCAAGGACAACGCTCAGAATGGTCAGAAGAGTAAGCGAAAGGAAAGAGGAAACCCTGGGGGGAAGAGGAATGAGTGACATTGCACTGAGGATTTCAATCAATGAGGTGTGACAAGCTGTGGATGGGAACTTAAATGAAACACTGATATGCTGAGTACACCTTTTCCCAATTCCCCCCCAAAATGTGTATGTGTGTTTTTTTAAGAAATGAATGTGTCAATTCCTCGGCAATTAAAAAGGAAAATCATATCTAGACTATGATATTTAGTACTTGGCACAAAGCTACCCTATGGAACCAGTGAGTTTGATAAACATTGTTTCATTGCGAACATTTATCCGAACACCAACAAAACAAAACAACAACAAGTACAAGTGAATTTCTGGAATTTGAAACCTGGGAAGTTAATACCATTATATTCTAATCTAGTGAAAACCAAATCAATTCCCTTCGGACTTGTTGGCAGCGCACGCGTGTCATAGGAGTTTTCTATGGCAGTCGACTCAGGCACCTCTGGGTGGACTCAAACCTCCAACATTGTAGACAGCAGCCAACCAACCAAGCCAG